TCTGATATTCAAATTTCACTTTCTGGGTCAAAACTACTCGAATTTCCTCACTCACGTTGTTACGACTGAATCTGCCTGCAATGAAGCTCATCACAGGCGTTTGTATCTTCCATAGTAACTAACTTTTGGTAGTTTTCAACTGAAGACTGCTTTGCCGAAAAGCTCTCAAACACACCACCCGAAGAGTCAAAAAGTTTCTAAATCGAAAAACTAATTTGCGGAAAACTGCAGAAACTACAGTGGAAGATAAACACAAAACTATTTGAAGCTTCCAGGTCCTGTGGCTCAACAATGAGGCATCAAAGGCCCCGGAGTTATTGAAGTATTGAAGCTTCCACTCCAATTTAAATTGGTGAACTTGAATCGACAAATTTGATTGAATCTTTGAATCACCTAAAGTAGAATCTCCTAAAATTTTCATAATTATTCATTGAATAGGTGAACGAATTAATTTGAGAATGTCCTCATTTCTCAATTTCATAATATGTGAGTACTGTCTAATGGCATGCGTCAAGTGGCTAAAAGTAAAATAAACTGTGAATCTTCCAAATTTATTCCCAATTATGGCCGATGAACTAGACCAGGACCAAACGCAGGCTGAAACGCTGGATCAAACCACTGCCAATGAACAGGATACTGAAGCTGAAAGTCAGCCCCAAAGCAGTGGAAGCGAAATTCCTAGAGACGCAACCAGTAAGTCTCAGTCCAGTACCAAATCTCCACCAAGCAGTCAATTATTGAGCGATTCTGCTGAAAAGTCCCAGTCAATAACGCACGTTTGTGCAGATTTTCTGGCTTCCATTTACAAATCAGCATACTACAGAAAGATCGTGAAAAGCGTTCTGGTGTTCGTGCTAGCTTTGAAAATGGCACAGGAGAGCAAGATGATGGTGATTCCGTTAAAGGAGTATGAACCGTTCACTAAACACTAAACTATGGTTTGGATTGCTATACATTTTCTCCGCAATAAACGATTTTTATTTCTTTAATCTTCTGTTTGCAAACAAAATGTGCTAATCTCAGGCACCACCGTGACAGGTTTAGAGCCTGGAAAGCTCTCATCGGCTGCATTTAGACAGGAAATAACACTCCCGAAAGTACAAGTTTTTTCGAGAGTATTTTTTTCAGGCTAAATTCGGAATGGCCTCATGATGAAATGGTAATAACTTGATTAAATAGTTAATTTTATCACATGTAAGATGTGTGGTTGTTTGTTATAACTTTGTTTTAAAGTGAGCCTTTTACAATTATTTCAGTTGCGTTATTGACAAAGGTAAAGTCTAAAAACACAAAAAACAATTAAAAATCACAAAAACTAACGAATCTAAATAGAATCCAATGCTGCAAGACTTGGATAGAAAATAAATGTTTTGCTTAATTTAATTGTCTTCGCGAAAGTTGATTTTTATGAAATGTGTATAAGACATAGAAAATACCAACAGAACAATTATTACTGGCTGGTGAAAATAACAAAAAAAACTGATTAGATAATTAATTATTTGTTGGTGTATTTGCCATTCCACAAAATTTACAATAAATTCACATTATCTCGTAAAAAATTTCTTTATATAGATTTATTAATTACTCGTAAAATACGCAACCTAATTTAGGACGGCCCTGTATATAGGGAATTCATTTAATAAAAAGTGAATGTATTATTCGTAATAAATATTTATTCTTCTATACAATACAATGATGTTATAAAATAGTATCAAACGGTATTCTACAAGAAAAAAAACTTTATGGGCTTTTGCCATTGTAATAACGAACCAAAAACCAAAACGTTAAAAAATTATGGCTGTAATGATTTCGGGAAACTCTCAAATTTATTACGCACTTCCTCTTGCTGTTTGCCGATCTCCTCAAGCTTCTGCAAGAAAACTGCCTGCAATTTTTCATATTCCGTTTCACTCTCTGCAATGCTTTTTTGCAATTCTTCAGTTTCCAGTTGCTGTTCGTACTGTTTTGATTTATATTCCGCCTTTGCTTTGCTCTCTTTCAACATTGCTTCCTCTGTGGATTCCTTCAGAATTGTCTTCAGTGCTTCGTTTTCGGCAATGCTGGCAGCCAGTTCACGTTCCAGCTGCTCGTTCAGCCGATTTATTTCTGCCTGTTCTTTTTTTTGGGCAGCTACTTGGTACTCTAAGTTTTGTTCTTCCGTTTTAAAGTGTATTCGCAAGTTGGAGAGATTTAGTAGTTCATCGGGGAGACGAAAGGATTTCAACTCCTGCACACACATTCGGAGATAATCAACATTCTGCTTCAGTTCAAGCAACCCGTTGTTATTGTCAACTTCCTCAAGGCCCTCAGCATCGCTAATAAGGGCTTGCAGATCTTGATGTAGCTTCTTGTATTCCTTTTCAGGAACGACTTTGCTTTTGAGTTGATTTTCCTTCTTTTTCAGTACTTCAATTTCGCTCTCGATCAGTTGCAAGTCAATTTTCAATTTTTCTGCCTGCTCTCTTGATTGCTTGTCCCGTCCTTTCCACTCGGCGATTAGATGCAAAGTGGTCTCATACTGGGGTGCAATAGATGCTGCTAGTTTGGCTAGTTGAGCATTTTCCTCTTTGACCTCTGCCAGATAAGCCACTTTATCCAGTTTCTTCTGTTTCGCCTCATCCAAGCGAGCCTCGTTCTGTTCACCTTTGATCCGGGCCTCGTAAACGCTGTTGCACACTTCCATCATGTAATCGATTATAGTATTCGAAAATAAAAGGTAACGTGTTGTCACAAACATTAATTTGTTCAATCGCTTCGGCTCAAACGTGTACAAATCTCCCAGCGCAAATTCCTCTGTTAAAAGTGTAGGTATTTTCAGTAGTTTCCAGTACATGGTTTCTTCTTGGGTGCATCCTTGGGGGAAAACTTCTTGTTCCAAAGCCTCTTCTCTCATAAGGGAACTGAACTTTTGGTCCATGTTATAGATGCAATTGCCGAAAAACTGCATGACACTGCATTTGGTGGGATTTCGAATATCAGACACTTGAATCTGATAGTCCGGACAGCACAGTTTAATTTTGTCGATTGTGGTTTGAATTTGCTTATTGGACAATACTCGCGCTTTCTTGTTCATTGTCACAAACTTTTCTTCAAATGTTCAATTGAACTATGAATGTTTTTCAATACCCAAAATGCCACTTTGCGTTTTTTACTTGTTGGAATTTGTTTATTTACTTGTTTGATTTTTTTAGCAGTTAATTTAAAGTTTCTGAAAGGATCGCCTACATAACCTCCAATAATCTGATTTAAAATGAGGGCTGTTCCGGTAAATTACAGCGTTGCCAATGGGTTTTATAGTAATTTCTTTAATGTTTAAATAAATAATAATTTTAAACTTGTTTTATAATTTTCTAGTTTAAGGAAAAAATTAAACACTGCAATTGTGCTAATTAAAATATTATGTTAGCGTTGGAACTAGCATTTGAAGGATTATAGTGTTATACTTTCAAAGCACGTTGATTCACATAATTATTTCCTTCTCCCAGTCTTTAGGATAAGTGAAGAATCTGCGCCATTCGTTTAAGGAAAATAAATGTCTCTGTTTTAAAGGAGTAACCACAGCCCCTAACATACCCCTATTTTGTGGGATTTTGGGGGATATTTTGTGGGAGTAACCGTTCGCTAAACAGTAAACTATGCCGTGAATTTTTATGTATGTTCTTCGCAATAACCGATTTTTATTTCATGCATATTCTATTTTCATTCGAAATGTGCTAATCTCAGACCACCCTAACCGGTTTCGAGCCTATTCGCACTCATCGGCGCTGGGTTTAGCCTGAAAATAACACTCTCTAAATCTGCACTTGTATTTCGCCCATTTATGCGAAAAAGAAGCGTAGAGTTACATACAGAATAAACCCAGCTGATAAAAAAAGCCGTACTGCGGGTTTGTGTTTTAAAGGAATTTAATTGGTTTCTTATTTACACATTTTATATACATATAATGCTTTGAAAATGCCATTTTTTATCGTTAAAGCCAAATAACTTAAAAGCTATACAATTTGCGTTCAATTTTTTTATAACAAAAAGTACCTTAAATTTACATAACAACTCAAAAATAAAACAAAATATAGGGTGTTCCTATAGAAAATAAATGTTTTCTGTGCTGTAACTCTCTGACGCACTCTGTATAATTGCTAATATTTTTAACTTCATTGTATATACTTTCCTAACTGTGTTTCAATTCTGAATCAAATTCATTCCTGGGTTTCAGTCATTTATTGTCTCTATTTATCAGTCAAAATACGTTTCGGTGTATTTTTCCATCATCATCAGTTTTTCTAAAATAACATTCATTTGCTAAGGTGTTTTTAGTTTTTTCTGCTATGTTGATATTATGTGGTTTGAATATATTTTTTATTTTTGTGTTAATTTCCGGAATA